AATGATCCATTATTTTACAAATGATTGATTCTAGTGTCAAACTCTCAGCATGGGAATAACTCTGGAATAATGAAAAGCATAAAGATCAGAAGGTTAGAACAGAGATAAATTAGAAATAGGATACTTTTAAACTGTTTTATGCAGAAGAGAGGAAGGGGGAATAGACTTATATTTATTAAATGTCTGTTATGTTTCACACACCCTGTGAGGGATTTTATAAATGTTAACTCGTTTAATTATTTCAATCTTTTTGTAAATTCAGAAGAGGGAACTTGAAGCTGAGGACATTAATAACTTATGACTATATGGCAGAGATAAGTGCTTTTGTAGCTACTACAGCCTATTTTGATCAAAGGACAATATGGTGATTTAAAGGAAATACACTTTACCTTAACAGAAATTAGATAGATGTGATGATAGATAGATGATAGATAGATAGATAGATAGATAGATAGATAGATAGATAGATAGATAGATAGATAGGAGCCCTGATGGCGGAGTGGTTATACATTGTGCTACTCACCACAAGATCAGCCGTTGGAAACTACCAGCAATCCCTGGAAGAAAGACAGGGCTTTCTACCCTAAAGAGCTACAGTGTCTGAAACTCATAGGAGCAGTTCTACCCTGTCCCATAGGGTTTTAGGAGGTAGCAGCAACTCAGTAGCAGTGAATTTGGTTTGTGTGTGTGTCTGTGTATTGTCTAACCAAGAAGCATACTGCTGTAGGAAATAGTGAACTATCTATCCTTAGAGGTAAGTCACTCCTAGAGTCTCACTGTTGACCTCTTTGCTGCTGTTGTTAGGTGCCATCAAGTGGATTCCAGCTCGAAGTGGAACAAAACACCTCCCAGTTCTGTGCATCCTCACAATTGTTCTGTTTGTAGCCACTGCATCAGTCCGTCTTTTTGATGCTCTTCTTCTTTGATTCCCTTTTACGTTACTAAGCACAATGCTCTTTCAAGACAGAATCGATAGTCCCTCACCAGCCCCATGATTCAGATATTCCAATTCTTCTTTAATCTTTCTTATTCAACGCCCAACTTTCACATGCATTTGAGGTGATTGAAAATAACATGACTTGAGACAGGTATACTTTGGTCCTCAAAAGGACATCCTTGCTCCTCAACACTTTCAAACAGTTTTCTGCAGCAGGTTTGCCCAGTGCTTGAACTCTATGGATGCAATTTATTACTTGAAATAAAACTGGAGAGATGCTCTTCAAAGCACCTTCCATGTGAATAACTTTGAAAAAAAAATTAATAAATGAATTGATTTTAAGTCAATGAAGAAAACAATATTTTAAAAAAACGTAGAAAAGGAGATAAAAGGAATATGGCTGTCAGTTAACCAGCCTGAGAATACCAGAAAGGCCCCACCACATGTGTTGATCCAGCAGGCACAGTTCTGCCTTTGTAGATAAGTGTTATTGAAAGTCTTTCCCTGTCTCCAAGCCTCACTGTTTGTGTAAATAGTGTCCAGGAGCTTGAGCATTTAATCTGTATAAGCCAACAATCTGTGTATTTTGGTCTTATACACATACACTTTCCTTTTCTCAACAGTTTCTAAAATGTTATACCATTGGCTCAATTCATGATACTATCAATAGTATTATCATATGCCCCATGGGATGATTAATAATGTTCTCCAGTAAAATGATAATGATGTCTCTAAAGTGAGACAGAGACATATATAACCATTGATATATGAATCGATTTTGAGATCACACTGAACTGTAGCTATAACCTAAGAACAATTAGTTTTTGTGACATAGTCCTATTCAATACTTATTCTCATGGAGATTTTAATGAAGATATGGGTACTACAGCAAAGTGTGGTGAAGAAATCAGATGGTACTCAGTTACCAGGAAGAATAGGTCTTAAAGAATTCTCTTCAAATGAGCATCCATCTAAGTAAGGCATCAGCTATGTCCACCAGAAGCACAGCAACCTGTGTGATCCAAGGATTGTAAATAATAAGCTACAAATCTAGAGAAGGGAATGATATTAGATGTTAAACACTGAACACCTGGTTTCAGAGGTATATGGATGACAATGAAAGATGAAAATGCATTTGCAAGGTCTCCACATGGATTCAGCCTCCAGAGAATTCCATATGACCAGAGATCAGTGATGCTTTCTTTTTTTTTCTTCCCCTTTAATCATTTTATTGGGAGCTCCTACAATGCCTATCACAATCCATCCATCCATCCATTGTGTCAAGCACATTTGAACATTTATTGCCATCATCATTCTCAAAACATTTGCTTTCTACTTGAGCCCTTGACATCTGTTCCTCATTTTCCCCTCCTTCCCCATCCCTGCTCTCTCATGAACCCTCAATAATTTACAAGCCATTATTATTTTGTCATACCATACACTGTCTGACATCTCCCTTCACCCACTTTTCTATTGTCTATAAACAAGTGGCCATCTAACTCAGAAGCATCAAAGCCCACATAGAAGAAGCACACCAGCCTGTGTGATCACAAGGTGTTGAAAGGATCAGGTATTAAGCATCAAGGAACAAAAATCACATCATTGTGAATGAGGGGGAGTGCAGAATGGAGACCCAAAGGCCATTTGTGGGCAACTGGACAACCCCTTACAGAAAGGTCTTGGGGAGGAGAAGAGCCAGTCAGGGTGCAGTGTAGCAACGATGAAACATACAAATTTCCCCAATGCTTCCTTCCCACTCACTATGATGATCCCAATTCTACCTTAGAAATCTGGCTAGACCAGAGGATGGATGTACACTGGTACAGATAGGAACTGGAAACACAGGGAATCCAGGACAGATGCTTTCTTTTGACTGAGATATTTTTCTATTTGATTTTGTTACTGTTGCTGGGTTTGCTGTTGTTTGTGCTTTTTATTTTTATTTCATATGAAATCCAGGACAGGTAAATCTACTGAGCCACAAACTATATTAATAGTTTCCTAGAGGCATGGCAAATGTGATTGGGGGAAATGAGGAACTAACAACAATGAGTTCAAGAAAGAAAATATTCTAAAATTGATTGTGGCAATGATTGAATAATTATTTTAATATGTTTGAACTATTTAATTATATGATATGCTAACTATATGTCAATAAAACTGTTTAAGAAATCATTAAATTTGCAGGTCCCTTTAATATCACGAGGGTAATCTTAAATCAGCAGAAATTCTTAGAACTTATCCTTGTACTGTGTCTGAAAATGTCATTCCACAGGGTTGACTACCAACAAATTAATGTTGCAAAGCCATAAATACCTGTCACAGTCCTTGTTATTAGTCCTGTATATAAAATAGAGAAGTTATTAATGAAGTTTTTTTTTTAATGCAACATTATGTTAAACTTGAGAAAGCCCTGGCAGGAAAGTTAAGTAAAAAGGCAATGACGTTTTATAATAATTAAACATTTAATGAAATAACACCTTAGGCTACAATGACAGTTGCTTTAAAAAGTTACTGAAATGACAGGTTGAAATAAGTAGTACTTGATGTGCTGATTGGCACAGATAGATACACATTTTAATATATATTATGCATAGAAAGATAATGAAGTGTGTGCAAAAATCTGACATTACCACTTAGATATTTTTCTTTATTAACTGAGAATTAGTTTTAATTGCAGTAAAGCAATTAAATGCAGCAAAGCATTGGGTGTGTGTGTTTGTTATTCCAATGAGACTAATTATAGAACTACATCTTAATAGCTTTTTCAGACAATGTATTGTTTTTATTTTGAAAGCTGGTTCTTGCCTTAGACATAACTCAGATTTTGTGATTTAAAAATTCAGTTTTGTATGCTTATATTAAAAAAATCTTGGTATTTTTGTCTTACTGTACATAATAGAATGAGCGGTAAGTGCATTTATTTTGGGAATATGACAACTAATCTACCTATTTATGAGAAATATAAATTTCCACTACAGTTAGTTCTTAATGTGATCTTAATCTATTGTTTTCTGTTAAAAAAATACCATCAAATTGAACACGCATAGTTTAAGATAATGGTTTAAAAATATCTTTCTATTTAAAAAATTAAACTTATTTATGTTCCTTTGATTTTATATGACAAAATAGCAAAGAGGCAAAGGAGGCCAATTTTTAAAATCCTATTCTCAATCCTTAAAATCATTAAGCAGTTCCTTTCCATTGTTTTAGTATTGTCCTGGGATTGTAGAATTACTGTTCCACTTGATGCCTTGACTTTTGTTGCTTTACATCTTCATTACTTGCCCCTCTTAGCGCCATAGCAATTAATGTAAGTGGGGTTTTAATTTCTGAAATGCATTATTTCTCAGCTAAGGGTGAAAACTGTAGAATAATAACAAGCTACCACTCATCCATTTTTCCCCTTTATTTATCTTTTTCTTCTTAGCACACCAGTTTGTGATTTTATTTATTGTTTTAATGAATAAACTGTCTTTTATGTGTCTATGCAAAGTCATTTGACTGCGTGGACCATAACGAATCATGGATAACCTGACACAGACTGGAAGTTCCAGAACACTTCATTGTGCTCATAAAAAATCTGTACATAGACCAAGATGCAGTTATGCAAACAGATGAAGAAGAGGGTGTATGGTTTACAATCTGTGAAATGTGGTCAAACGGTTATATCTTTCACCATATTAATTCTGTCTGATTGATGAACCATATAAAGAAGAGCATGCATCAGGATTGGAGGAAGACACGGAATAAATATTCTGCAGCACCCCACTTGCTGATTTGAGGAGCCCTGGAAGCCCTTCCCTTGCCTTGCTGAAGGTCGGAGAGCCTGCAACAGCTTGAAGATCCAAGATGACAGCTTTCGATATGGATGACACCTCAACATCAGGAAAACACAAACCCTCACCCGGCCATCAGGTGACGACATTAAAACGAACAGAACAAATAGTGACGTTGTTAAGGATTTCATGCGACTCAGATCCACAGTGCAGCAGCAACCAGGAAAGCAAAGGCTTATTGCACTGTGAAAATCTGTGCCAAAAGATCTCTTTTCATTTTAAAGGTATGCCTGCTACTAGTCATGGTAGCCTTATATGCGTGCCGAAGTTGGGCAATCAGTAGAGAACCTGAAGAAGAACTGATGGCTTTGAGATACGATGCTGGCAAACAGTATCAAATATAATACGAATTGTCAGAAGAATGAACCCGTCTCTCTTGGCAGAAGGTGGTGAGCCTCAGGTGGAAGGATGGTGAGCCTTCCTTCCTTACAGTCTGGACATTCTATCCGGAGGAGCAGTTCTTGCAGAAGGGCACCAATGTTTGGTAACATGGGGGGTCAGATAACAGAGAACGTTCCTTGAGGAGGAAGGACAGAGTGACCACATCCGGCTCAAAAGCAGGAACGCTGCTGAGGCTGCAAGAAGAGGGGGCAGTGCTTCATTCTGCTGTTCATTGGCCTGCCGGGTCAGAATCGCCTAGGTGGGACCTAGCAACAACTAAAGCAAATATTAAATTCAATACTCTAAAATATTAGTATATGAAAACAATAGAAATCTGACAGAATATTTGTATCTTAAAATGTTTATGAGTGCTTTCCTTTGCAACATGTTGTCTTACTTCTTAAAAAAGAACCATTTATTTGTCATTTGGGTGAAAGTTTACAGAACAAATTAGTTTTCCATTCAACAGGTCGTACATTTTGCTCCGGGACAAGGATTGCAGTCATACTCATTCGATTTCTGCCTGCTTCTCATTTCCATTTGTTCTTTTTCCCTCTCTCTCTCTCCCCCGAACTCGGTTTCTGAGCAAATGCTGCCCTTTAAATCATGTGGGGTTGTTTGTTCTATGTCATCTTATATTGTGAAGAAAAAATAAATCTTATAGAAGGCTAATGTACCCACCAAGGATTTTTATGTTTATTTTTAATTCAGAAGAAAGCAAAGTCATCATGGAAGTAGGAGGAAAATGTTCATTTTATACAGAATATTGTTGCTTGCTTTTGGACCATCCAGGGACATTTCGGAGCCCTGGTGACACAGGGAGGAACCCATTGAGCTGGCAACCACAAGGTCAGCTGTTCAAATCCACCAGGGACTGTGCAGGAGAAAGAGGAATCTGTCTGAGGCAGGAAAGATTTCAAGTCTCGAAACACGTAGGATAGTTCTATTCTGTCTTCTAGGCTCACTATGAGTCAGAACGGACTCAATCACAGTGTTTGTGTTTTGTTTTGGGTATAGATAGAAGAAATTGTTACAGTATAATATTTTGCTGATTTTTACTATGTTTTATTTTATATTTAAGAAGTGACATGCTTTTCTAATTTCAATTTACCTACAAATAAGAGCCGATCTTTGATACTAAGGAGAATAGTGGCATACATTTACTTTAAAATGAGAACTAGAAAAAGGAGAGAGCTACTGAATTCCTAAGAACGCAGAAGGGTCCTTTAAGTAAATTCATGCTAAAAGTCTGTTCTTTGTGAGAATTCCATTTACAAATAGCTTGTGTTTGGCCTTGTCTTAGGGGATTGCAGAAACAATAACAACCTATTAAATTTTGTATTTACAGATTCTCATTTCAAAGAACTTCCAACTCTTCTTCACTGTGCAGCAAAATTTGGATTAACGAACCTGGCTACTCATTTACTGCACTGTTCAGGAGCAAGCTGGGCGTCAAAGATGAAAAATACAGAGGGGTCTGATCCAATGCATATTGCTAAAATGCATGGCCACAGAGCGCTCCAGAAGGCCTTCGAAGACTTTGCAGTAAGTTTGATTTCCCCATTTTACCTTTAAAGAAAATTTTATAAACTAATTGTGTGAGCATGCACGTGTGTGTGTGTGTGTGTGTGTGTGTGTGTGTGTGTGTGAGCGAGAGAGAGAGAGAGAGAGAGAGAGAGAGAGAGAGAGACCTCTCTAAAGGGTCATGGATAGAGTGGGAGAAAAATGTGGAACAAAACTCAAAATAATGAAAAAGACCAGACTTACTGGTCTGAGAGAGACTAGTGGAA